GGGCCGGCTGCGGCCAGCTGGGGAAGATGGCCCTGATCGCAGGCCAGGCCTAGGGACCGTACCTGCACACGAATTTCGCGCATCAGGCCTCTAGTCTATATACATAAAAGCCTAAGCGACCATTCAATTGGTAGATATGATGCGCACTGACCACCAGGAGGCAGACGCTCCGACCGGTAGGTTAGCTTCCTGATGGGGTCTGGCCGATGGGGACTGGGCGAGATAGGCTGGACACGCCCTGAAGCCCTCCAGTGGTCCCTCCTGGCCCGATCGTGCATCAGTGGGGTCCCGGATCGTGAGAGGGTGCAGGCCAGGCCGAGGGACCCCACTGGTGCACGAATCCATGCACCAGGTCTCTAGTTATGAATATAATAAGTGTTAGTTACTAAGAAGTGGTGCAGGTTCTAGGGGTGGAATTCAGAGGATTCTGGGAAGTGTCTTTTAACCTACCCCTATCTTAGCAAGGTTTTCTAGCAGATTTTATTATAACTACTGGGAGGATTAACGTCCTAAAACAGAAACCTTCCATGACCATGAACAATTATTTTCAAATTAAATAAAACGATAGGCTTTATCTGAGGTACTTTCTAGTGCTAAAATGCCCACCAACAAAAGGACGGGAAGTAATATTTTAAAGAACTTCTTGGAAAATCATATGACCAGAGGAGGTGTGTTTTATTTGTTTGTTTTATAAATATATTTTTATTGATTTCAGAGAGGAAGTGGGGGGAGAAAGAGAGAGAGAGAGAGAGGGAGAGAAAGAAACACCAATGATTAGAGAGAATCATTGATTGGCTGCCTCCTACACGGCCCCTACAGGGAATCGAGCCTACAACCTGGGCATGTGCCCTTGACCGGACTCAACCCCAGGACCCTTCAGTCCGCAGGCCGATGCTCTAACCACTAAGCAAAACCGGTAGGACAAGGTATGTTTTAAGAGCCATTCCTTCAGCCTAACACCTTTCTTAAATTGGAAAAAAAAATTCTGAGAAAATGATGTTTATACCAGTACTGCAGGGAAAACAACGGAAAACACTGCAGAATAGAAATGTGCCTATTTCTATTGATAAAAATTAAACAATCCATATGTGTTAAGAGAGCTGGAGATGGGGCTTTTCTTCTTGAACTTCTCAAGAAAGTAAGTAATATTAACTTTAGCCTTAGCTTTTATAAAACTGACAAAACTTAACAGTCTTACATTAAAATTTTTATCAACTTTAAAACAAAAAGATTTTAAAAACTCAACAGCATCCAAATAATTACCTATTTTCATTTGTGTTTCGTTTCCATTCTATCAGTACACAACTAGTTTTATATGTAACTTGTTTATTTTTTATTTTAACATCTTCAGTTTTGTGATAAAACACTAATTATATAAATTAAAAATTTAGATATGACAATATGAATCTTTAGATATAGTAGCTAATTGATTTAATTTCTGTTCAGAGAAAATATTTATTGACTCTTCAGCAATTAGGAGAAAACACATTTTTAATCTTATACCTGAGGATTTTTTCTTTTTTTAGGGCATTGTGAAAAGTGAAAGATTGCCTCCTGTCCAATGTGAAGTGCAAAAAACTGTTTGCTAACCACGTTATTTTCAACTTTTCCTCCCAACTTAATTATTTACATGACCTTGAAAATTTAGACAAAATGTTTACAAAAGATTTAACTGTTTCCCAGAAGTATTCATGTATAAAGTCACTGGCATAAAAAATAAAATCACTAAAAATAAGTAAATATATAATATTATATAGTTTTAACATGCAAAAACTAAAACAAAACACTCCTCCATATAATTGTCATGTATTATTCACATGCCATATTGTAAAACAGATACAAACATATCTTTGTGAAAACAAAATGGCCTTTGACAACAGGAAAAAAGGGAACCCTGCCAACATCTGCACATGTACAAATGTCTCCTTGTTTTTGGAGCCTTTCCAACTGGCAAAACAGAGTCAAATATACACTTCATTACCCAAGTCCCAGATAGAAGAGGGTAACATATATGAATAAATGTCACACTGAGCAACTTTATATTCATACTAGAGGCCCAGTGCATGAAATCTGTGCATGGGTAGGGTTCCTAGGCCTGGCTGGTGATCAGGGCCAATCGGGGCCTTCTGGCTGTCGGCCGAGGCCTTTCTTTCAGCTGCCAGCTGGGGGCCTCTCTTCCCCAGCTGCCAGCCGGGGGCTTCCTTCATTCTGCACCACCCCCTGGTGGTCAGCGCACGTCATAGCGAGCGACAGAACTCCCAGTCTCCCAGTCAAACTCCCGCGGGGACACTTTGCATATTAGCCATATATATATATATATATATATATACACACACACACATATATATACACACATACACACACACACACACATATAGATAGTGATTTCTGATAATGTTAACTGAAATCCTGTTACTCCTCATTTTAAGAAGAGCACTACAATTCTTCCATATAGTTTGCTACCTAAATCTTTTGGAAGAATTCTAATAAATGAATTTGCACTACTTGCTCAGATGACAAGAATTTTTCATTGTATAATCAAAATCGCCAGATTTCATTAATGAGAACAGAATTCTACTAAAAACATTGCATGTAGTACAAAGAAAATGCTCAAAGGGAGCCAACATAAGTATAATTACACTAGGGGCCCAGTGCACGAATTTGTGCACCTTGAAAGGAACTGTGGGCTGAGGCTTCGGTGGGCACAGGGGCGGGTCTTGGCCCATCCTCCACACCCCCACCTGGCTCTTCCCACCGCGGCCCTGGTCCCCCGTCTGCCAGCAGCCTTGCTGCCACTGCTGCCACTCCCACACGCTGATGGCGCCGGCCCCACTTGCACCCGCTGACGGCATGGAGTGATTGGGGTCGGAGCCAGCAGTGGGTGTGAGCGGGGCCGGTGCCAGCAGCAGGTGCGAGTGCCAAGTGGGACTGAGGCGCACAGGAGGAAAGAATTTTCAGTAACTACCAGAGGCTCGCCCCGATGACAGCAACAGGCTGTCTGGCACCCCCGCTCACCTGCTCTAACAACCCATCACAGCCTACGCCCACCATGTTCCACACTCTGCCACCTGTTGCTGACGCCCGTCACGTTCCACGCGTGCCCCCTGGTGGTTAGTGGACGTCATAGCGACCAGTTGTTCGGGTGTCCCACCGTTTGGTTTATTTGCATATTAGCCTTTCATTATATAGGATTTAAAACGATCATGGCTTAGCGCTAGCTGGGTGACTCGGTTGGAGTGTCACCCTGTACACCTAGGTTGCCAGTTCAACCCTCGGTCGGGGTGCATATGGAAGGCAACCAATTGATGTTTCTCTCTCCTACCACCTTCCTCTCTCTCTAAAATCAATAAAACATATCCTCAGGTGAGGAGTAAATAAAACACCAAAAAAACAATCCTGACTTAGAACCAAAATTACCATGGTCAGGCAGTTTGAGGCAAAATTTTAAGACTTTATGGCTTGGATTTCTTAAGTATATCGAACAATAAGAAACACAACTTCTTACTTCTGATTACCAAACTCCCACAAGAGTATAAAATACAGTAATAGTATAAGACATTTACTGCAGTCCACACTTTTAAAATTTTAAACCAAGCCCTAACCGGTTTGGTTCAGTGGATAGAGCGTCGGCCTATGGACTAAAGGGTCCCAGGTTCGATTCTGGTCAAGGGCATGTACCTTGGTTGTGGGCACATCCCCAGTAGGGGGTGTGCAGGAGGCAGCTGATCGATGTTTCTCTCTCATCGATGTTTCTAACTCTCTATCCCTCTCCCTTCCACTCTGTAAAAAATCAATAAAATATATATTAAAAAAAAATTTTAAACCAAATCTTACAATCAGATTTTCAAAATAGCTAGAACAGGCACATCGTTTAAAGTAATCTGAAATAAAATGTATTTTAATGAATTTATATTTGAAAAAATATATACAAATACTTTTCTGTCAGGAAGGAGTGTTTAAAGGTAGAATGATTTAAATTATAATTAGATTAGAGGCACTCTAATTAATTGTTCAGGGTTTTTCATCAATTTTGAATGTATGTCATAAAGTATAATATGTAAAGCTTTTTAAACTAAATAATAGTTTAAG